GTTTAGGGTTTAGGGTTGGAGTTTAGGGTATTTCGATGTTGGGTTTACTTTTGGTGGGGTGGGGCGGACATACGGACACACATATGCACTCATGTTCCGTCCGTCCGTCCGTCCGTCCGTCCGTCCGTCCGTCCGTCCGTCCGTCCGTCCGTCCGTCCGTCCGTCCGTCCATCCATCCATCCATCCATCCATCCGCGTGTGCATCCGTGCATCCGTGCGTCGATGCATGCGATGCATGCATGAATGCATGCATGCATGCATGCATGCAGACGTGCGTATACTTACAAGGTTTTGATCGAGACATGCTGATACTTGGCGGTAGAGCCCTGCATCAGGTTCGCCGAGCCCGATTGTCCTTTTGCCTACGGACCGCCGCCGAAGGCCAGCACGCTGAGGTGAACGTGAGTGGTGGAGTTTCTCATTTAGGGTTCGGGGGTTGAGGCTTTGGTATGTCTGCTTCAGGGTTTGCGAATCAGGGTGCAGCGTTCTGAACTTTAGGGTTTAGGATCTCTGCATTTCGGGCTTGCAAGGTTCGGAGCAATCTTCCATCGCAGGGTTTCTGACCTTGGAGCTCTGAGATAATCACCAGGACTCTAAGACCATTTGTTCTTCCACGAACCCTAACCTCTCTAGTCCGATCCTCGAACCGTAAGCCCCGAGCTCTGCATGAACCCTACTCGCAGAACAGCAGGCCCACAAACCCTCAGGTTTTCTAGTCCGGCTGGAGGAGAGTACCGGAGGTTTAGTTTTCGCATCTTATACTACCTTTGGTTCTTATTATAAACCCTATTATGGGATTTATAGGGACCCTACAAAAAAGTAGGTTTCGGGTTCTTAAGGGTACAACACAGGCTGAGCCGTGCCCCCGTGCCAGGCGTCGCCAAGGAGCTCCGACCGGAAGCACCCCCGCCACGGGGCCCGGAGGCGGCCCGGCAGCGCACTGTCAGCTTCCACAAACTTCGACCGACTGCTCAAAACGTCGGAAGCACACAAACACCTCCAGGGCTTAGGCAGTAGGGGCTGGGCGTCGTGATGTGGGCAGCGAGTATGCCTTTCCAGATGAGCTTCAAGGTTTAAGTCTTCGGGCCTGAACTGGTCATTCGTTTGCCATGTCTTGTGCCCGAAGGTGGGCTCCATGCACAGAAGCAGACTGATGAATAATGCGCTGCCGCTAGTATGTGTCAGTTTTTGTTCGCTACTTGCAGCTTGTCGTCCTTGTAACCGAAACAAGACGAAAGCACGTCAGAAGGACAGCAGTACTTCTTGTGAGGATGATCCTAGCCCCTGCTATCTGCGATAGTAATACCAGAAATGATAGTATAATGACCCGGAGACGCGGTAGCATAGTACAATAGCTTTCGTGGTTCGGAAGGACAACCGTACTTCAGCACGCTGAGTGAACAAGATCATGTAGCTTAGTGTAAAATAGAATGTGGTGCGTGCCCCTTAGACGAAATCCAGAGGTTTTAAGTGAAGAAAATACCAAATCTTTCCCAGACCCGCTTGCCTGCTGGCCCAGCCGCTGCGGATTTCCAGGCCAGTGCCCGCGGCATGTGGCGGTTTGGGTTAGCTGCATATACTTATATCAACAATACCGGCTCATAGAAATGCGTGTGTATGGATGTATGCATGTGCCTGCTCTGTTCAAGCATCATTGCTTCATACGGCGTGCATGTCTAGCAATACAGCGCGCAGCTAGGTAAGCGTTGCATCTACATGTGCATCTACATAGAGGCGCATGTACATGCAGTTTCCTCTTGACTGCGAGAGTGTATGTTCTTGCTGGAGCTGCATCATCACCATCGCCATCGGCATCGTCGTCATTGCCATCATCTCTTGATCACGGCGGCGAGCATCACAGCTCGCAGTTCATCATCACCAAGATTATCATCATTACCACCATTACTAACAGCAAGTTCTTCACCACCACCATGATTAAAAGACTACCTGTATGATGTTGAAGTTCAGGTGAGATCCACTTTTCGGGACGACAGGTCATCATGAAGCGGTGTAGGGTACAGGTGAGGATTGAGGCATTGGGGATTCGCAACTGAAGGCTCAAAAAAACCCTAAAACCCTATGAGCCCCCAGGTAAACCTTAACACCACAACGTCAAAGCCCGTCCCAGCAAATCAGGGCGCCTGGGGCGGAGCGTGGGGAGAGGGCCATGGTTGGGCCGAAGGCTCCGGGTGTGCAATTTACTTTGGGTTGGGGGCTTGCTGGAGACGTTTATTCTTTGAATATATATATATATATATATAGAGTTGTCAAATGAATGAATAGTTATTGTATATATATATATATACACATACACGAAGGATCTGTGTATTTCGGGTCTGTCCCCAGGGTCTAAGCATTTGGAAGTTTGACTCAGGGAACCCTAAACCCTAAACCCTAAACCCTAAACCCTAAAATGAAGAAAGAGCAAACAGGAGCTACTGGGGAACCTCGTGTTTCAGCCGAGTAGGGGCTCTCTGGGTATCGGGCCTTGTGATGTCGA